CGACGTTTCACGCGATAATCCGTCCACGAATTGCCGCCAGTATCCGCGTTTCTTGGCTTTGATGAGGCTCTTGAGTTCGCGTTCAAGAGCCGAGTACGCTTCGAAATACACGGGTGTTCCACGTTTCCGGAAAAGCTTAAACGCGTCGGACTTTTTACGATAAACCTCAGTGCATTGGTGGTCCCACCAAGGGGAAGGAGGTTTCCTACGCAAAGACGTTCCTGGAACCGGCCGAGTTTGAGCTCGAAGCGCGCTGTCCAAGATCAGATTGGAGAGGAAGTTATATTCCTCCAACGGTGGAAGCCCTTCTACCGACGACACGGCTTCCTCTATCGCGGTCTTGAACGTTGTCCAATCGATATTACGGGTGAGGTCGTACGCGACGTTAACGGATTCCGACGGATTGAACCCACTGGCAATCGAAATTTTGATCGGCAAGTGATCACTACCGTGGGGATCCTGGATCACATTCCACGTGCAATCCAACGATAATGAGTTAGAGCAAAGTGTGAGGTCTAATTTACTTCCATTCGAAGATGGTCCAGCCAAACGTGTTACTTCTCCATTGTTAAGAATTGTCATATTGAAGTTATCACAGAGGTCATATATAAAAGTAGAACGGTTGTCATCATACAGTTCCCCCCAGCCTGTACCGTGGGAATTAAAATCTCCCATAATCAACCGTGGAGCAGGAAGTACTGAACATATATCTGAAAGTTGTTTTCGATTAACAACGGCTCTAGGAGGAATATAAACAGAAGCAATACAAAGGCTCTTACCTTTAATAATAGCCTGACATGCGACAACTTCAATACCTGTAGATTGTGGAAGATTCACTCTATAGAAAGAATGGCACTTTTTGATCCCCAAAAGTACCCCTCCTCCACGCGAATCCTCACGATCCAGTCGAATAATGTTAAAATCATAAAAAGGAAGATCTATATCTGAAGAGAGCCAAGTTTCACAAAGAGCAAATGCATCACAATCATTATTGTGAACTAAAAACTTAAAAGAGTCTAATTTAGGAATAAGACTTCGACAATTCCACTGTAGAATAGTGCTCAAATCCCCGACCTCGTTTGGAAAATTATCCATCGAAGGAAATGATTGCTGCAATGAGGGGCCACTTCAATGTCAATTGCTTCAAGAGGGTCTTCACAGTAGGAAGCATTGCCAGAACAATGCTTTTGAGAGGATCAGAAATATTCAGGTACTTGAGAATATCGTCCACAATTTTATCAAATGAGAACAACCCAGATGAAGAAGGGGCTTCTGTTCTTAAAAATGGGACATCAGGGGTTTTGGATGTCCCCGGGAGAGGTGGAAAATCCTGGGTATAGTCAGTTCTTCTGAATCCAGGAGGAGTAGAAACTTCCTTTTTTCCACCACTCCTTGATTTGGGCAAGCTGATTTGGGGTTCTTCATTCTCAACTTTCCGCGAACGGATGCGTTTTCGTTTCCGTGCTGAAAAACAGAAAGAAGTTCCCTCCTCAGCCAAGTCAGAGTCAGTCTCGTCATCTGACAAAAGAGAAAAGGGATTTTTGTCGTTGGTCGATGGCGTGGCCGTCTTAAGCATTTCTGCAAAAGACTGCCGGGAACGTTCCTTAAGTGAGCGTTGTAATTTCTCCCCGCGTTGTTTGTACACCGGGCATGACGAGATACCATGAGGAGTTCCCTTACAGTACACGCATTTTGGTGCGGTAGCTGCACAGGTGTCATCCCCATGCTTCTCTCCGCATTTGGAACAGCGTGCCTTGCTGCCACAGTGGGAGGCCGTATGTCCCAACTGCTTACAGTTTTGGCAGTTCATGACCCGGGGAACGAACAAACGCACAGGTAGTCGAAGTTTTCCCAGCTCGATGTAGTGAGGAAGGGCTGAACCAGAAAAGGTCACACGGAACGAGTCTGTGGGGGTAAAACTCTTTTTACCCTCGCTGACAGATACTGAGCCCAGTTTTTGGACATCCAGTATCTTCACCGGAGGAAGCAAACGGTTCTTGAAACGGCCAACCGCCTGCTTCTCCAAGATCTCGGGGGTCAGACTCGCTTCGGTGACCACACCTTCGATCTCCACATCACGAGCTGGGATGTAAACTCTGTACTCGAGCGTGAAGAGCTGGGAGGCAGCAATCTCGTTAGCCTGCTTCAGGTTAGAGACGGAGACACGAAGTTTATTGTGCCTAACCTTCGTGATTTCAGTCACGGCCGAGTATCGCTTCGTCAGATCATTAGTAATTTGCATTACATTCAAAGGTTTGTTTCTGGGCTGAAAGTAGACAACCCATGGGCCAGTCGAGTCATCTGGATAGGCTCGCGATCGGGGGTTTATCTGAGCCTGTCCTTTGCCAGACTGAGACGATGAACCAGGGAGAGATGACGTACGTTTTCGACCCTTCTTGCCATCGCGTGGCAAAGTGGTGTCATCTTCCGACAAAACGTCCATTTCGTCTTGCGACAAAATGTCCATTTTGCCGTACTAGTGGGAGCGAAAAACGCTCTACCACTGAAACGATAATCACTCGGACACAATACACAACAAAAAAAAAAATACAAACACAGAACACAAACTTAAAATTTAACTGTTTGCGAAAGAGAGAAACAAGAACAAAAACTTATCTGATAATCCTATACTACTACCACCGAGCGTTTAAACGGCAGCAGCGGAGCGACGCGCAGCGTGGATGATCTTCGATCAGCGTGTGCGGGCGGTCTTCGTTGGTGTGTGCTTATGTGAGGGTCGGCACTCAGCTGAACACACGATGATAGATGAGCGGTGTAAATGCGGAGGCAGATGCTGACTCTCGATGACGATGATCCGTGTGCAGGTATGCGTTACCACGCACCGATGGTGCGCAAAATTGTTGGCGAATTGGTAATCGTAAAAACAATTTTCCTTCCGATGATGCCGAAAACACACTTTCTTCTCAGAAAAAAAACTCACTTTTAGTTAATTATTTAACTATGAACTCTAAGCGAGAAAAAAACTGACAATTTAAATCAAGCGAATAGCGAGAAAACTTCCAAAATAGCGGAGCGCGAACTAAGTCGACCGTACTTCTTGCTAGGACGCAGTGGAATGATTATAATTAGATGGATCTCACCAAATTCTACCTCCGAAAAAGCACCGGTTTGTTCACTCGCGGTAATCGAAAAAATCTTCCGCGTTGTTTTTACAACCTAACACAGCATTTTGAATCACATGCGAAGTTTTTCATTTGCACCAATTTTTTGCCTAACATCTCATTTGCGTGCATCCTCCAGAAGACAGAACGCCAGCAGCAAGAAAAGAAAAAAAAAAAGCCCGGTAAAAAACTCTTCTTGGGAGGGAGGCAAAGCACCAAAAACAAGCGAAAAGAAAAACCGACACCACAGCAACACAGTTTCTCGAAACAAATTATTGTCCCAGTATTCACATTAATTACAATATCACTAAAAGCTTATTAAAACGTGATAGATTTTAATTTACCCTTATCCACTCGCGAAAACTAATATTTTTTGACTTGGTTCAATTGAAAAATATGCGGGAAACAGATGAAATAGAAATAGAAATAGAAATCTCAGACGTAGTCCTACGTCAAAAATGTTCGATTTCGAACTCCATACAAGTATACAAGTAACACGTCAAAAACTCGACGATTTTCGAAATTTTTTTGTGAGCAAATGAAACAACGCAAACGTTTGGTGTTTTTTGCATTAAATTGCTTAAATCTTCCTCTACATTTGAGATTTTTTTTCATTGGTGTGTGACCTCTGTGGCTCCTTGGGGTCACATCGGAAGGAGGTCACCTCCGGTGGGGATTGGTAATTGGCGGGCGTTCTAGAGACCTGAAAAATGGACAACACTCACTTTTATCAATTGGACCTTATTCAGAAAAGATCTTTGTTCTATGTGAATCTCTAAAACAAACAAAAAAAAAAACGTTAGAAAAAAAATTTAGAAAAAAATATCTGAAAAAAAAATTGGATTTTTCATTGTCTTTTTTCACTTTAGGCAGACCTGAAAATTATTTATTGTTATTTTTTTCATGATATCGGTTGGTCACATAGAGTATAAATCTATTTCCTTTAAGATGCGCCAGGTTTCAAGTCATTTGGATGAGAACTTTTTGAGTTATCTTTCCCGCCAATTTGGAAAACACCGTTTCGAGAAAAACGCGTTTAATGTTTTGGGTTCATGATTTCTGGAACTTACGGTTAATCGGCGATACCGGTACCATAGATCACTCCTTCCTCGTGCTCGTAGAATTTAAAAAAAAATTTAAAGTAAAATATAAAAAAAATCGATTGAATTTTTTTTACTTGTAATAATGGGGAATAATGGAAAAATTTACTTTTCAAACTGTTTAAGTCTTTATCATAGGCTTAAAAAAAAAAAAAATTGCTGTTGATGCTAAGTTCAGGTTACAGAGTAGTAACATGTTATAATAATTATCGACAAAAAAAAAATCATTAATGATAGTCCTAAGAATCGTCTATAGGTTATCTGTGTATTATCATTACATTACATCATTACAGCGATCTGGCAATAACGGAGTAGCATTTGCAGGCGGTGAATCATGCTCATGCTCTCGACTTAAACCAACCTGTATTGCCTCACAGCGAACAACAATTATTCAATTATTATTATTGATCGATTCTTCAGTTGGCGTGGGAATTCTTATCAATTATGTGAAATGCATGTGTATGTCGCAATTATGCTTGTTTTCAATAACCACATTTTATGCATTTTTGAGCTCTCGAAAATTAATTTCCTAGTTTACATAGATGATTGAAGCATTGATTGAATAGCTGCAAACATGTTCTAAGTTATAGAATTGGCTGGATCAGTCGATGAATCAGATATGTTGACTGAATTATTACCCAAAGTTTCATTTCCCTTGAGTTCTCCAGAGATTTAATTTAAATTGTATTCTGTGTTTTCTTTTGCTAATTATCAAACTATTTCTCAGCATTTTTATAACAAAAATTCCCCAATACTAATCCAATATCTCTTTATCTAGATGGCAAACTCAACCGCTTTCGTAGGAGTCCCGAAACGTGAGCCCTGCCGCAAATGTGGCAATCCGGTGTTCTTCGCCGAGCGTATTAGTTTCGAACAAAAACTTTATCACCGTTCCTGTTTGAAATGTGCCCGCTGTGGCGCTCAGCTGACGCTAGGGAGTTTCTACGAAACGGAAACCGACGGTGAATACTGTTGCGAAACGTGCCCGGATGAAGAGATTCAGATCGCTGAGCGGCGACGTTCGATGTCGGCCGAAGCTGCTACCGAGTCGCCAGTTAATGGCACTCGAGAAAATATCCGCACCAATCGAAGTAGTAAACTACTAGAACGAATATCATTTTTCGAATCGGCGCCACTCAGCGATGAGGAGAAAACATCCAACATGGCTCGACGGGCAAAAATGACTAGCTTTCTGAAGGATTCACTAGAAAAATCCGATAAATTAGATAACGTTACTGAAGCAGAGAAAAACGAAACTGTGCCACTTGAAGAATCATCCGATAGCGAAGATGAGCCGGATAGAGATGAACCTCCTCCCAGTCCACCGGCGACCAAACCTCCTCCTTTAATACTTGAAACAGATAAACTGATTATTGAACCTACTACAGATATTGCCACCACTCAAGCTTCAAACACTGATAACATTGAAGAGGAGTGCAATGGAAGTCAAGAAGTGAACAATATTAGCACCACTGAGCGTGGCGCCGAAGAATCTCTTGAACCCCCTGCTTCAAGTCAAAGAAACTCGGACACTCCGGATGAATTGAATCCTATAACTGATGTTGAATTAATAACGTTGAACGGGACCATCATCAAAGATTCAGAATGTGAACATGTCAATGGTGAAAGTATGATAAATACTGGAGAAGAGGTTATTGCCAATACCGAATTGCCAGAAAGTAAAGAACAAAACGACGAACAAAATGCAGAAGTATCTCAAGAAACATCTGCTGAAGCAGAGGCTCAGCCTGTAGAAGTGCCTGAAGTACATGTGATTTGCGAGGAAAAGAATGATTCTAGTTTAAGCAAGCTGGAAGAAGTGCCTAAGAATGAAGCCATTATCATAAGTGATACTGTTACATCAGAAATATCAATTCCGGATGTTGAGATTCATACAGAGAAGCAAAATGACACTTTTCAATCTGAAGAAGTGTATCCTTCCGATTTGAACCCGTTCGGGGACGATTCAGATGAGTCATCGCAACTGCCATCAAAACCCGTTCCTTCAGCGCGAAAGGTCAGCACAAATCCATTCGGCAGTGACGACGAAGATGAATCTCAACCTGTAAACGCTAAGCCGCCTCGTCCTCCACCTCCGAAAATAAAGCCACTTGTTCCTGCTAATCCGTTTGGCGATGACGAAGATGCTGAACCAGAGAACGAAATCGTTCCAATTATCATCAAACCTTCACCACGTCGCACACCGGTTCCAACGCCACGCAAACAGCACAACCATACCGATTCCATCAGCTCGATGGAAACCTCTTTGATGTCCAGTCAATTCGGAGGTTCAAATGTTTCACTCGCTTCATCTTTGGATAGCACGTCAGCCTCGATGACGATAAATCGTCGCAAGAAGCCTAAAGCACCGGATGTACCAGCTGCCATCACGAAAATATCGACCGAAAACTTATCTACCAGTCAATCTACAACTCCTCGTAGGAAACGCTTGGCTCCTGCACCTCCTCCATCGTCAACACCGAAGCCAAACGATACAAAATCTTCATCACCCAATCCAACTCAACGGTTGATAACTTTGGATGCTAGTTTAATCGGGAACGATTCTGATCTGAACGAACCGATTAGTCGAGCTGCCAGCAACGACTCGGTAGTTTACAGGCGAACCATCATTCCTTTGAAAGTCGACGACGATAGTCTAACTCTGGAAACCACTACCACGACAAGCGAACGGCAGTGGGAAAAAATGAAAGACAACAAGGAAGCTCAGAACCGCAACCGACAGTCACAGATATCTCCCACCAGCTCCCAGAACGATTCCTACAATAATTTAATATCCAATAAATCCCAACAAGGCAAATGGAAACGGCGCAAAGGTCCAGCACCGGCCCTACCTGTGCCATTACCCGAGCGTAAAACAATCAAAATGCTACCGCTGAAGGAGATTCGGCAGGAGATGGACATTATTGAAACGCAACAGCAAGGACTGGAGAAGCAGGGTGTGATTTTGGAACAAATGATCCGGGAACGATGCGAGGGAGTCGGACCAGAGATGGACATCACCGGCATCCAGACCAACTCGAAGGAGGTTGAAGATCTGATCATGCAGCTGTTTGAGCTGGTCAACGAGAAGAACGAACTTTTTCGGAGGCAGGCCGAGCTGATGTACTTGTAAGTATGGAGTTTGTTGTTATTAAAACATCTAAGATCGAGTGTGCTTTGTGGAGCCGAAATTCATACCATTATTTGCAATATTTTTACCCTTCTTACAAAGAAGGGTATAGATATCACTTGAAAAACCGCTAATCGATCCGAGGCCCGGAGGGCCGAGTGTCATATACCATTCGACTCAGCTCGACGAGATCGGAACATGTCTGTGTGTGTGTGTGTGTACGTGTGTATGTGTGTATGTGTGTATGTGTGTGTGTATGTAACGAAATATATAAATAATTACATATATTTAAAACCAAATTAAATTTTGTTTGTTATTCCATATAAATGATCATTTCAGTGAAGTTCAAATGCAATATAAATATCAAAATTTGATGAGTCTGGCGAAGAACTAATCTAATATGTTTAAAACGAGTGAACCAAAATAGCATTTCTCGCTTTCTTTTTTGAAGGGACGTATCAGATTTGGTAAACAATGCATTGATTGCCGATTTGGCGTAACTGGTAGCTGACCCACACATACTATCACCACTATCACGAAGGTGAAAATTTCCCCTATCTGATGGTAGTGTTAGCATGCGTGGGCGAGCTACCAGTTACGCCAAATCGATGATCGAATGCATTGTTTACAAAAGCTGATACTTCCCTTTGTAAAAGTAATCGAGATTTCATTGAAAATTTCCCAGTTTTTCACATACGCCCTTTGCATCATTACATTTGGGTTAAATTTTGATCTTACCCCAATAAGCGCAGAATAATTTGCGTTATCAGATTTCCTCTAAAAAATAAATTAAACATGGAATGGATCAATAGACTAACATCACCAATATCAGTCTAAAAGGAGGCAAAATGCCATAATCGATATAAAATTTAAAAAAGTCGGTTAAGGCACAACTGTAAAACAAGACTATGTCGGAGGCGGCTGGATTCGAATCCCGTCTGATCTAGGAATTTCTCGGGTTGAACAATTTATCGACTACCATGGGCATATACACTGTAACTTGCAAACACCCATCAATGTGTACAATTTTACCATTTTGAGGAAAGTGGTTATACCCATTAAATGGGTAAAATAATTACCCATTAATGAGTAACTGTTTAATGGTTATATCCACTTTTCCTAAAAATGGGTGAAATTGTTTGATTAATGGGTACTTCCAAGTTAGAGTGTAGATTATGGTTGTACTTGCCACAAAATTAAATTAATGCAAACATGATACATGCTTAGAAACCTCTACCAACTGTGGAAGTGCTCAAAGAACGCTAAGTTGAGGGCCGGTGGAAAGTCGCAATAGCGATATAATAAAGCCAAAGAAGAACAAATCCTTAAACATCTAAAACCGCCAATCAGTCTTTAAACAAAGAATTTGCTCTTCCCACAAGAAGCCTCATTCAATTGTGATGTTCCACATCATCCAAAGAGTTCTGCGACCTTTCTCTCATCTATCAAAATAGGTCTCATGAGAATCCTCATTCAATAGGACAACGCCTTTACTCACTGATATTATTTTCTTAAAGAAAGTGCTAGTGGCTCATAGCACTGCCGTGTGACAGCCACGGCTCTACATTTTCGAAGCTCTATTAACTCGAGTTTTGTTTTCATTCATGCAACGTGTTTAACACATCATTTCTATACCGCCTAGCTCGAGGTCTAGCTAACGAAAATGAAACGCGAAACGAAAATAAAAAACAAGCACGTTTAGAAAGAAATGACCTTTCAATGAAAGTAAAGTCGATTTTCGAGGTGAAACGAAGACTCAATTTGGCTTTCAATTTCTTTCCCTCTGTCACAGGTCTTTCATTTTATTTATTAGGTATGCGTTGTGCCCCGTTTTCGTTACTTTTTTTTAGATAAATATGTAGATGGAAGATAAATTAATCATATTATGTGTAATCTTCAAGAGAAATGCTTTAAATGTATTTTCATTTTCCGTCATGTACGTCATAAAACCTCGGTTGATGTGTTTCATGAAAGACGAACAGTTCAAGGTCGAGTGCTCTTTCACTCGTCCGCTTCACCGAAGCTTGAAAGTAACAAATGAAGCGACGGGACAAATAGAGGCAAACGATAGAAAATTTGTTTGTACACGCCGACTGAGGTGCTAGAATAATGCGAAGCTGCTCGACTCCAACAGAAAAAGAAAGCTAGCAGTCTCTTCATTGCATCCATTTTGTCGATTGAACACTGATAAATTAAACAATTCCCATTTTACTTGAAATTTAATCAGTTTGACATTAACTCAGTTTAATCATATCGAATGATTAAAAATTAATACTCTCTTTCTAAAATATAATCATTTGATATTAAACCCAGTTTAATCATGGTTGATTAGATTGAAAATAATCTTTTTTGAATTAATTTTATTAATTTTTGATTCTATTTTAATAATTTTCGATTGAATTTTAATCTTTTTTGATTATATATTAATATTTAAAAATAATAAAATTTAAGACTGGAAAGATTATTTCGAATTTAATCATGCATGACTACTGCCGAAGCAATCATGGCTCGGACTCAATAAGGTGAATCTGCATGCTTTTTAAACTTTTTTGATTTAATTTATCTTTGAGTGAAGGTGACGCCCTGGTGATAGTTAGTGTTGCGTGCTATCAACAATATCAATTGACTTTAGATATTGCTCCAGCACTGAATTTCACTTTCGACACTGATATTTGTAGCATGATTTCATGCGGTACGGCTTTGAAATTACTATCCTATATGAATAACACTAGGAAAAAGTTGAAAATCGTACTTTTATCTCAATAAATATACTATTTTGTATAAGTCTTTTTTTCTAAAGATTAGTACTCGATTAGCTGGCGTAGGTATATGTTAAAAATTTGCTGCAGAACTTTGAATACCATTACAATGTCAATGTCATTTGCAGACTGACATTGAGGCGAGTGACATTGATATTGGAATTGTGTGAACTGATACTGATATTATGGGCTAGTGGAAATCGGTATTTTATAGGTATTTTTATTAATATTTTACGGTACTGGTATTTTGAACCATTATTCATCATAGGGAAATTTATTCCAAAGAACGTAACATTTTTGCAAAATGTAGATTTGAAATCACATTTTGCAGCAAAGTAACATAGATCGTAGAACAAAATTAAAAACAAAAAAAATGATATTTTTGGACATGTTCTGCCATGAGGATGTCAATTAGGGTTATAATAATCGATTGAAATAAAATTGCGGTGCAAATTTCCCTATTTGTAGTGCCTGAACAGAAAAAAGCTTCTTCTGAACAATTCTGATTTTGGCGCTTACGTCACATTGCTGTTACAGGACAGAGCACTGCTCAGGTGGAAAAACACCAAGTGTGTGCTATTCATCCCTTCGTGAAAGTACATTCGTTTATATTTATCTCAATCATGCACTTCACTCTCGGATACTACCTACATACCGAGCTCACGGAAGTTACTTACTAATGTATCCTATACATCCCTAGTGGTGCATAGGGCCAACGTGAAAGATTTCCATTCTGGGCGGCTGCTTGCTTTTGCCTTGAACCAGGCACAGGTCAGATTCCTGACGACTTCCTATATTTCCTTATTGAGGCTCCCCCGACATGAGCTCCTGGGTCTGCCTCTGCTGCGATGCCCTGCCAGGTTCTAATCCAGCGCTTGCTTACAAATTTCGTTTCCGCTTCTTCATAGTGTGTGGCCGACCCCCTCAACTTACGTTCTCGAATTTCTGTTGATATCGGTTTCTGATGACATCGGTTATGAAGCTCAGCATTCGATATCCAGTTGTGAGGCCACCAGACCCGAATTGTGTACCGCAGGCATCGGTTGATGAAGACCTGCAGCTTTTGAGTGTTCTCTGCTGATACATACAACGTCTCACTGACGAATACCAACACAGAGTTCACGTTTGAATTGAAAAATCGAATTTTGGTACTTATCTGGTTACAGGGTGTTGACTATCTGAAAAAAACCTGGAAAGTCAGGGAATGTCAGGGAATTCTATTTATGATCTGGAAAGTCAGGGAATGTCATGGAATTTTTGTGTAGGTCAGGGAAAAAAAATATATTTTTGATTTATTCTATCCAATTTAACGTTGAAATTGAAACGAACCAAAATATGCGAATTGAGTATTTTACCACAGACAAACAGACATAACTCATTGAATATTTCTCATTGTAAAACATCGTCGCTAAAACATTACCGCCATCTGTTGAGTACACTGTGGTGGGTAGTACGCTGAACAGATGGCGGTAGTGTGTAAATGTCAAACGCAAGGGAATTTACTATGCGCGCCACAGGTGGCGGTACTACCAACTATAATACTTTTAAATTGACCGTTAAATGCTTGTTCGATGAACAACTTGCGAGTGTTATGTCTGATTGTCTGTGATTTTACGTTTAAACAGAAATTTTGTGTTGTTTCATTTGGCTGTTTTCTCTTTCGTTTCGTCCAGAAAATAATCAGGCCTTCCTGATTTTGTAAGTGTAGTTGATCCTTTACTAATTTTCCAGGGGTATGCAAATCTAATATATAACCTTATATAACGCGTCTACCTCAGATTGATTTTGGTACTTTGCTTTTTGATACCCACTCTAATCCGTTTACCCCAAAACTGGTGCAATGGGGCAAAGAGCTCGTTGACATGATATAACAGTGCTTGATATAACAGAATGCTTTTCGAAAGTCAAATCGCTGCTAAGGTTCAGCTAGGACGTGACGTGGCTATGTTTGGCATTGCTCCGTACTATAAAGCAGAGCTGAAAAAACACTGCAAAGTCCTGCTTTTTTGTTGTAGGGTTTGATGAATTCCTAAATAAAACATTATTATTATTATTTAGCTTTATTAAGGAGGCTTTCAGCCTTGGGCTGGTTCGCCTCCACCTAAATAAAACAACAAAAAAACAACAAATGGATTTGAATGCCCGATTCTGGGATGATTCGAAAAACTAGGTGGCAACTCGCTGCGTTTATGGAAGCCCTTGCCGGTATCCCTTCAAACAAGTTGCTGCAAGTGTCCATG